CTCTGTCACTGGAAGCCTCTCTCAAAGATTGAATTGCACTGTTCAGCTGAAAATTGTGTAGAAACTTGACCAGATAGTAGCCATCATCGGCCATGTGACATAGGCTTGGCAACTGTTCCGATCAGACCCCCTTGCATCCCTGATTTCACGCACTGTGCGGAAAAGCATCCATTACCGACCAACAGCGAAAACGGCTGTGGGCGTGTAGGTTGAAGCCATCACTTGCTCATTTACCCCCTCGTCCGAATATCCAGTGCTTCTTGGTCACGCGCCCTTGTCATCTTTGTGCTCAGGCTTACCCGCCTTGCCTTCCCGATGCCCAAGGGAGTTGGTTGGCCTCCACCCAAGCTTGTTCTGCTCTTGCCCACTCAACCCTATCCAGGGTACTTTCCCTCCATTGGAGCTCGGCTGCGTCGGATATATTGCGCTCAATACCCATGAGATAGGCAAAGTGTCGACGATGCCTGATACCCATACTCAATCTCTGTTGGCTTTGCCACCAATGTAAAGGTCGAAAATGCGAGGTGCGTGCCAGGACCGTGTTGGGCTCATGTGAAGACATCCTGATCCTATGTCCGGTGTACTTCCAGAAGCGTCGCAAAGCTATGCTGCCCCATCGTTCCCTCCTAGAGTACCACAGTCTAGCTCTCGCGACGCGGCACATGCGTTGGTTATAGTCAGTCCACCATTCGTTTGCTTGCCGCTTAATCCCCAGTGCCAACGCAACAGCCTGGAGCTGGAATTTGTTGAGCTCTTGCTGAACTGTCTGGTTAGGGTACACTACCCCCAGGGCCCATCTCATCGATCCCAAGACTGTGCTCTCCAGGAGTTTGATTTTCATCCCGTAGTTGCCTTGTCCCGACAGGATGTCTTTGATAGCACTCAATTTCATCCTTGCTTTGTTGATCATCGCTTCCAGCATGCCCATATCCATGCGATTGGGGTGTAGCGGAATGTTGAGAACTGTAATGGGTTCGTCTTTGCCCAAGGGGAGGATTCGGTCAGCTCCGATGACAACCCCTGTGCCTTTGACATCCCCCATGGTGAAGAGCTGACATTTCTTGGGTTGAATCCCCAAGCCGAAGTCCCGTAGCCCAGGCAAGATGGAATTTAGGGTCCCTTGAAGCGTTGGCAGATCCTTCCTCCATAGGACAATATCGTCCATGAAGCATCCCAAGTGCGTCTCCGGCTCATCAAAGACTAATCCTTCCGTCCCCTCAGTAGCAAATAGGACTTCCTCCACGATCTTACTGAACAAGATTGGAGATTCGGGGGACCCCTGTCTAACTCCTTGGGTCGTGGTGATGGTCACGGAGGTCCATGGCAAGAAGACATGACCATGCCCTGTACGTAGTAGCATGACTAACGCTCTTGCTTCGGCTGGCTTGCCTGCACACCATTGACAAATTTTGCGCGCCAACTTGGGTCGGTTGGTCGCGTCAAATGCGGCTTTGATGTCCAGTTTGATCATGGCCATGCTCTGACCCCATTCATGCGCCAGCATCATCGTCTGCTTGATGGTCCATAGTAGGTCACTCGGTTGCCTGCCTTTACCGGCCATCTGGGTCCCTCTTGTGAGGCTGAGCTCATGCTGCAGGCGGTTAAGCAGAAGCTTGGACATCACTTTGGCACAATGGCTGGAGATGGCTATAGGTCTTAATTCTTTTGCTTTCGCCGGCGGTTTAACCTTGGCCAACAGTTTGAGAAGCGTGTGGTTCCAAGCCTCGGGGTTTGTCGCATTGGTGAGAACCTCCGTGTAGAATTCCGCGAGTGCTTTTGCCGTGTCGTGGCACTGGCACATGGTTTTCATCATCTCAACAGGCACTCCATCAAGGCCAGTAGCCTTGCCATCAGCACATCCATTGATAGCCTTCTGGATTTCCTCGATTGAGAAAGGCTCAACTTCTCCTACCACCAACGAGTCCATAATGGTGTCCATTTCCTCCTCTAGCTTGTCTGCCTGTGGGTCCTGGAAGGCCGTTTGGAAGTGTTCCCGGATGGCCTCGCTCGGGTCCTCCGCTTCGCAGAGGTGAAAAAAGTCTTGTTCCCAGCTGGTCCCTCCTTTGGTGTGCTTCGTGTACTGGTCCGGTTTAGGGTTTTTAGGGTTTAGGGTGTTTAAGGTTTGGGTGGTTTTTGCGGTTCAGGGTTTTTAGGGTTTAGGCAGTGTGCAGTCCTGTTTGCATCCAGCGCGCNNATCAGCATCCAGTGCGCACTCTTTTTGTATCCATTGCGCACTCCCCAAATCTGCATCCACTGCCGAGGGTCTGTACGGTTTTAAGTTTTCAGGGTTTAGGGTTTTCAGGGTTTAGGTGGTTTTTAGGGTTGAGGCTTTTTAGGGTTTAGGGTCTTTAGGGTTTAGGGATTCTAGGGCTTAGGGTTGTTTAGGGTTTTTAGGAAGGTTTCTAGGGTTTAGGGTTTTTAGGATTTAGGGTTTTTAGGGTTTAGGGCTTTTAGAGTTTTTGTGGTGTAGGATTTTTAGGCTTCAGGGTTTTTAGGGTTTAGGGCTTTTAGGGTTTAGGGTTTTCACGGTTTAGGGTTTTTAGGTTTGGGGTTTTTAGGGTTTAGGGTTTTTACGGTTTAGGGTTTTTACCGTTCAGGATTTTTAGGGTTTGGGGTTTGTAGGGTTTAGGGTTTCTAGGGTTTAGGGTGTTTTTGTTTAGGGTTTTTAGGGTTTAGGCCATAGATGCAGGGTTCAGGGTTAAGACTTTACGGATACAAGAAAGGAGCCCCTGAGTAATGCCTCGCGCGTATACACCCACGCCCCCCCTACCCGTACACATACATGAGAACATACGTACACCACGAATTCGGGTTGACGGGGGAGGGGGGGAGAGCGGTGGAGCGAGGGAGGGCGGGCAGGGGGGGGGCCAAATACTGCACCTGCCAACA